AGAAAATGGAAACTACTGTAGTATATTGGGGTTACATAGGGATAATGGAAAAGAAAATGAAAACTACTGTAGTATATTGGGGTTATATAGGGATAATGGAAAAGAAAATGGAAACTACTTCTTGGAGTTCCATTCTGTTCCATCACCTATCTGGCTCCAGGACATGGCTGATCGGGGCAGGCTTCTGCCTGCAGATTTCAAGTATCGGCCTGAAAAGGCCCACTTCCTGCGCAGCAGTGCCGATGGTTCAGAATTGAAGCACAGACGTCGTTCGGTTCAGATGGTCAAGACACTATATAACCCCTAGAGAACACCCTATAGAAACCTTTTAAAGGGATTGCGTCTTTGCTTCAAGTGCTCTGATCTCTGCGGAAGGCAGCTGCACAGCTTGCTGCTGGCGCTGGTGCACACCTGCCTGAAGTGGCGCTACCGCCTGGGCCCAAGTTTTCAGACTGGGAGCTATAATCCCTATATAACCCCCATATAACCAGTTTATATAACCCCAATATACTATAGTAGTTTCCATTTTGTTTTCCATTATCCCTATATACCCCCCAATAGAAGCAATGCTGAGAGTGCATCGTCCCATGGCAAGGCCAATAGACAACAACCTGTTCTATGGGATGGACCCAACACAGAACTTCCGCACGAAGGCTGGATGAACGCAAAGGTGGCAGCGGCACATTTTTGGTGGGCCGTTGAGTGATTATGAAAGTAGTGGTGTTGCCGTGGCGGCGGGCTTGCGGTGATGGTGGTGGCTAGTAGTGCTGTTGCTGTTGGGAAAGATGTGGCAAGGTCATGGTGATAGCCAGACTGTTCCCGTCAGAAAGGATATGTTGGTACAATTCTGATGATGCTCAAGAAGGGTCTGAGGAGAGCGTTCACTAATACCTGCTACAGCAAGATGGAGCCATAGCATGTCTAGGCGAAAATCGTCGTCGACACCGGGTTGGCAGGACCCCGCTATCCTGCTGGTGGCTAGGACGAAATGAGCTTCAGTCTAAATTCCTTAAAGGGGGTTATATAGGGGACTACTATAGGGCATATTAGAGGGGATACTAGGAGTTTAGACTATAGCTCAAATGAGGGAGGGATTCCATAATCCAGATGGAATGCACAGGGAACGCCAATATGGACAACTACATACTATAGACTGTAGTCCTCATCATTGGGACCCCCGACACAGGACACAGGAACTCAATTTTGTTGAAAACGCCCATAGCCCCCTGCTGCGCTGTGGAGTATAATCCCTCCCGTCCAACATTCCCCCGAACCCTTCAAATAGATGTTCCACCCTAAACCCTAAACTTACAGCACAATACCAACATGTACTTGGGTGAATAGCTGTTATTAGAGGAGTGGGATGGTTAGTCACCAGCGGAGTGAGCACCTAGGTTCAGCGTGATTATTGCTACTGAGATTTTGGCTCTTATAGCAACCTGCCATCGGAATCCAACATTGGGCCCCCGTTTTAAATCGAACTTAGTCCCTTTACTTTGCAAGGCCCAACCCTAAGCCCTAAACCCTAAAGCCCTAAGCCCTAAACCCCTTGGTAGTTTCCGTTTTACTGTAGGCAGTGGACAGCCATGGCAGAGTCTGGGAGCGGTATTGTCATCAAAAAAGAGGACGGTGTTTACCGCACACCCCTCCTCAAGAATCTGGGTTGCTGTTAAGGAACTTAAACTAAGTTACCATAATGGGTTTAGGGTTAAGGAACTTAAACTAAGTAACCATAATGGGTATATATAGTAAATAATAGGGTTTCACCAAGAGAGTAACTTAATTCAAGTTCCTTAACAGCAACCCAGGAATCGGATTCCTGAACCTGAAGCACCAGAAGGTAGCTCCAGCGCGGCAAACGCACTTGCAGCGGCACACTGGAATGGGAACTTAGTTTGCCGTCTCGCTGTTGACATAGGCGCCGCCCGACCAAAGCATGCTGCCGTTGCTCTAACAAAGAGTCATCGCCTAGACGTGGTATGGGAGCTTCTCGAAACAACTCTTCCAATCTACATATCCCTTTTTTAAGGTCTGCAAGATTGGCTTTTTCTGACATATACAGGGCTTCGGTGCTGGATCTTTGAACTTCCCCCGTCCAGGTGGGACCTTCACAGATGCGGTGCTGGAAGATGGTGAAGAAGTCACACAGCGATATCCAGTTAAGGTACTGACAACTCTTGAAAGTCCTGCGAAGGGCTTGCTGGATGCTGCGCTGCGAGCTGTTCGTGCTGGGGGGCGGGAGCCACAGCAGGTCAGACTGGTTCTTCATGGCACAACACTAGCAACAAACGCTGTCTTGGAGAGAAAGGGAGCCAAAGCAGCTGTCATTGCCACCAAAGGCTTCAGGGATGTCTTGGACATTGGAACCGGCGGTCGCTACGATCGGCAGAACCTCAAAGCCAGAACGGCCGCTCCCCTGATACCTCGGTTTCTGTGCTTCGAAGTTTCACAGCGTCACAGCGCCGACGGTACAGAGCTCGAGTGCCTCAATGAAGCCGAGCTCGAAGCACTTGCACCTGAACTTCGAGCACTTGGGGTGGAAAGTGTTGCAGTCTGCTTTTTGCACAGCTACGCGAACAACAGGCATGAGGAAAGGGCCGTGGCTGTTTTGAGGCCTTTGCTGCCTGATGTCTGGATTTGTGCCTCCAGTGCAGTAAGTCCCGAGATACGCGAGTATGAACGGTTCAGCACTGCAGCTGCCAACGCGTATGTCCAGCCCTTGATGTCACGGTACTTGCGGCAGGCACAGACCCTCTTGGTGGAACATGGCTTTGCTTGCCCATTGCTTCTAATGACCTCTGGTGGTGGACTGATGGATGCTGATACAGCGGCGCTCTTCCCAGTTCGTTTGATCGAGTCTGGGCCTGCAGGTGGCGCAGTCCTAGCCGAGCAGGTAGCTCGAGAGGCCAATGCACCAGAAGTGTTGTCCTTAGACATGGGAGGCACAACGGCTAAACTTTGTGCCATCTCGAAGGGCAGAGCTGCCGTGACTCGCGCCTTTGAGGTTGACAGAGCGCGCCTATTCATGAAGCATTCTGGGCTGCCTTTGCAGATTCCCTGCATCGACCTCGTGGAGATCAGTGGGGGCGGCGGGAGCATCGCTACGAGAGACGGGGTGAGTTTGAGAGTCGGGCCTCAGTCGGCAGGTTCAAACCCAGGCCCTGCTTGCTACGACCGTGGCGGAGTCCTTCCAACCGAGCCTTGGTGGAACTTCCGAATATGGGGATAATAGGGTATAATATTGGGGTTTTCATAGGGATAATGAAAAAGACAATGGAAACTACTATAATATTGAGGTTTGAGAGTGCGGGGTAAGCAAAACGAGCAAATTTGACGGCACTTGACTAACAAATCACTTCTAAAGGCCCTTCAGTTAAAATCGTACCCCAATCCAGACATGCTTCCGAGGGCACCGTTTTTGCGAGAAGCAATTGAATGGGTTCCATTGACGGCTCAGTGATCAGGGACCTCTTCATCATGTGTGGCATGCCCCTTCATACATATAGCCCATGCGCACAAAAACTGTGGCTAATGAAGAACGGAAGAAGTGGATGAATCAGGGGTAACGAACTTGTGGAGGCATAGCTGCGCTTGCCGTGCCACGGCAAGGGCGTTCCTTTCATTCACGCATAATTCCTTTCCATGAGATCATGCGTTGACATGCAGACTATGTAGATACTCGTGCAAGGTCACAGATGCAGACCTGATTCTGGGCCGGCTGGAAGCAGGTTCTCTTGCTGGTGGCGAAGTGGACCTCAAAACCCGTGCAGCCCAAGCTGCTCTGCAGACCCTTGCTGGCGAGGAGCAGATTCCGATGGAAAAGCTTGCTCAGTACGTGTCCGAAGCGGTGGAGGATTCCTTGGCTACAGCCGCGCGGACACATGCAGCAGAGCATGGCCTCGAGCTTCAATCGCATATTCTTCTCGCCTACGGCGGGGCAGCTCCGCTGAGGGCCGCTCAACTTGCGGAAAGATTGGGTGTTAGGACCGTTTTGGTCGCTCCAGATGCAAGCGTTGGCAGTGCAATCGGCTTTTTTTCGGCTCCACTCGCCTTCGAGGCACTGGAGAGTTGCGCCATGCAGCTCAGAGCGTTTGATCACTCCAAGGTCAATTTGATTTTTCGACAGCTGTGGCACCGAACAGTCTCAGTCGTGGCAGCGGGTGCTGCTAGATGGAAGCCAGGCAGGCCACCCAAGGAACGCCGACGTGCCTATGCGCGCTACGTAGGTCAAGGTCACGAGGTTGCCCTCGAGCTGCCCAATCGGGACATGGGCCCAGAGGATGCGGAGCACCTACTTCAAGAGTTTGAAGCTACATACAAGCGCCTTGGGTTCTTTCTTTTGCCAGGCCATGAAGTCGAAGTACGCGCCTTTGCTTTGGAGGTGGTGGCGGACGCTGATCCACTTGCATGGCCACGAGAAAGGCTCCGAAAGAAGCGCAACATAGAGGAAACATCACTGCTCTCAGAACTTGACAGTTCAAGCCCTGTTGCAAAGCCAAATGGCAGCCGGCGAGTTTATTGTTGTCGCACCTCCAAGTACCAGACAGTACCAACCTACCGTCGGGATGACCTCCGTGTCGGCGAGCGGATCATAGGACCAGCCATCATCGTCGAGGCATACACGACAACCGTCGTCACAGAGTGCTTTGATTGTTGGGTTTTGTCTAACAAGTTCCTGCAACTCCAAAGTCAAGCTGACAGATTTCGACAAGCTTCCCCCGAGAGACTTGGCTCGACCTCGCCTGCGCAACGTGAACTTGAGTTCGAGCTAGCTTGGACAAGGCTCTTGTCAATTCTCGAGGAGCAGGCACACTTTGCCCTTCGTGGGGCTTTCTCAGCTGTACTGCGAGAGTCATTCGCTGTGACGTGTGCAGCGTTTGATGCGAATGGGCGACTCCTAGCGCACAGTCAGACCTCTTCACCAGGTTTACTCGGCTTCTTGAGCGAAGCTACTGGGTTGCTGTTAAGGAACTTGAATTAAGTTACCATAATGGGTAAATGTAGTAAATAATAGGGTTTCCCCAATATAGTAACTTAATTTAAGTTCCTTAAACGCCTATATTCCCCCAGTTTCCATTTCATTTTCCATTTTCTTTTCCACTTGATTCTCCATTATAGTAGTTTCCCAGGCTATGGATGACAGATCCAAACACCAGGGCTCCTGGGTGGAAGCGAGGCCTGGAATCCCAGCTTTGATCTGCGTTGTTTCACGGTTCGTTGCTTCATCCGGGGCCCAAGGATTCATTGCATCTGCAGCCTATGTGCCGGAAGTGATGCAAGACTGCAAGGTAAGTGTAACCCTGAAGGATGAAGGAGTGTTCCATGGGCTTGCGTTGCCAGCCTCGCTGAATCAGGAAGCCTCTGTGCTGCTTGCTTCCAATGGCTTGGGAATTCGACGGCTGAAGCAGCTCCTGCAAGAAGGGAACATCGATTTGAAGCTGCTCAGTGACCATATCGGGCGAATCTCGCAGGCGGCTGTCTTGAAGAAGCTGAGCCAAGAGCAGCTTCAGGAGAAGCTGTATTGTGGCCGCGAGGTTGTTCTTCCAGCAGTAGAGGAGGGCAGTTCTGAACAACGAGTTGAGCTGAAAGCCTGTATTCATCTGCTGGCATCGGATGTTTTGGAGTGCTCGCTCTCTACTGAAGCTACAGTGGGGCCTGCTGCAGAGGGACAGTTATTGGGATCCTCAGCTACAAACTGCCGGGCCTTTGCGCACTTCGCTCTTTTGACCTTGTTCGGGCCCACCGATGTTTCGGCCAACCATGGTTCGCTGAGCGTCTTTAGAGTGAACGTTCAGCCTGAATGTCTCTTGGACGCGCCGCGGGAGAAGCAACTTCCAGATGCTGCCGCCCTCGCTTATCATGTGCCGGATTTGATTTACGGGTGCTTTGCATCCGCTTCACACCAAACGGGCTCCACAGAGCTCACTGCCGAAAGCTCAGCAAGCCTGTGTTGCTTGCAATGGACCGGTGCAGTCAGGGGCATGGGCATCCACATTGAGGCTGGAGGGACGGGTGCACTGGAAGATCAAGACGGCTCCAGCGCCACAGTTTTTCCCAGTGGCTTCAGATCTACTCCAATAGAAGTGACGGAGCAGTCTGGTGTTGTCTTCAGGCACAGGGAGCTCATGCAAGATTCCGGAGGCGCTGGATGCTTCCGTGGGGGCCTGGGCGTGGAATTAGAGGTCTCTGTCCCCACCTCGGTTTCCTTTAGATGTCTGCAGCTTCGGGATGATGGGCCTTGCGGAAGGGTCGGCGGCAAGGCTGGTGTAGCCGGCGCTTGGTGTGAATCTGGAGATACCCTCACCATCAAGACTGCTGGTGGAGGTGGCTTCGGGCATCCGACCAAGCGCTCGCGAACTGCAGTTCTCCATGACGTGCGCAATGGGTATGTCTCGCACGCAGCGGCTGTGTCAGAATATGGGTTGGAAACAGAGCAGCTGGACAGCGGAGTGCATTAGGTAGCGGACAAATCAAAAGCATTGCACGTACAATTTTCTGATGTACATTTTCCTGCAACAGACGGCTTCCATTTGCATGCCGATTGCGATTGTTATGCATCTTTTGCTTGGCCGACGTCAACTTCATTGAACCTGTGCTGCTGGGGTGGTTGAGACGATCTTGTGTGCACAAGAAGCATGCCCTGTTACCTTCTCGGCTTCTAAGGTTTCAGGGAACGCACATTAGGAAATTGCTGTCGGGTGTTTGGGTTCTGGCGCCTCGTGAAGTGTCCAGCAGCAAACGGACATGACATCTGTCGTCCTTGCTGACAAGCTAGCCAAACTCAGGGCCTGGAGCCCATTCTTCTGCAGCAATACATCGACATCTGCAATTAAGACGCCCATCATGCAGTTTGAATGCTAGATTTTCAGTTCCCGTAACTGAAGGTCGCATATTCTGTCCCATGTGCAGTTTCCATTTCATTTTCCATTATCCCAATTATCTGTCAGAATTATACCCCAATATACTATAGTAGTTTCCATTTTATTTTCCATTATCCCAATTATACCCCCAATATACTATTGCAGGATGGCTCATCGGCAAGGGAGGCCGCACCATCCGCGAGATGCAAGAGAACAGCGGTGCCTTTCTCCACGTGATACGGGAGGCTGGACACTACCACTATGGGCTATTAGACCCTAAAATTCCCTATTAGGACCTTATTAAGGGTAGATTAAGGTACCCTTAAGGTCTAATAGCCCATAGTGGTAAGCAGACCTTGCACCATTCCCTAACCCCAAACTGACCCTAGAACGCCCTAGAGTTGCCCTTTCAGATGACAGTCTGGAAGGACAACGCAGCGGCTTTGATTAGTATCCGCAATCCAGCCTAATTGTCATGACTTGTGTGTGGCTGGAAAAATTGGAGTTACGAATCTGCATCGCCCAGTGTCTTGAAGCTTAAACGTAGGCCTGAGAAGTCTTCCCAGATGGCACTGATGGGGATATGACCAGTATGTTTAATAGTATTATTACTATTGTTACCATAATTATTTGTTATTACCCATAATTTCTGTATTACTACAATTACTGTTATGGTCATTACTTTTGATATCATTACGGGGATCCTCCGACGGGTCATCTTCTGCTCACAGGTGTTACGTGGTCAGTGAGTATACGAACCGTAGTACTTGTACTAACTCGACTCATGATGAAGCTGTCAACCAGCCTTCAATAGCTAAAAGGGTAACAAAGCAGGCTGGGACCACACGTCTTGTATAGTTCTATCAGGCCTTATCCCTTGGAATGTGGGAGTTGGCTTCTAAGGACGAACCCACCCCGTTGCTCAAGCCGGGCGACCGGCTGATCGAGGTTTGTGGTGCAGGACTCAGACTCTGCGAGCTATTCCCAAATATGCTTTGAGTTGTCAACTGCGGCAGGGGCTTAATAGGTGCACCAAATATTAGAGCCTGCATCAGAAAGAGGGCCCTACAAGCGAGCATACTTTTTGATGACTCTGAGGCCCCAGAACGCCCATTGTATTTCTAGATGTCATCCGAGCATCCAAGTGACGGTGATCCCCACCCCGCAAACTATCTACCCGGTACTTGTAGGAAACCACGGAATGGATCCTGTACCCAGACCCCTGGGCGGATCTAGAAAGTAGATCTCTCATGAGGGTTCCTTGCAATTGCCCAATACTGTAGTAGCATATTTATGGTATCATATTGGCCCTAAACCCTAAATCCCTAAACCCTAAACGTGGTTCTACTTTTTAGATCCTCCCCGGGGTCTGGGTAGTTGGTATACTCCCTGCAAACAGCCCCAAAACCCATTCCTGACCCCAGTCCCTACTTACCATTTACCCGAAATCCTGAACCCCCAACCCGAAAGCCTAAATCCCAAATCACAAAACCCTCAACCAAATATTACGCCTTTGACAGCTTCGCAATGTCCCTTTTCAACCCTTTCCGCACCATAAGAGTCCAAGGGCTCAAGTATTAGGGTTTTAGGTACCGAACACCATTCAGACTAAGCGTTTAGGCCCCAATACCCCATTGTTTGAGTCCTTGCCCCGATGGTTACCAAGCCCTCAACCCCAAACCCTGAACCCCAAACCCCAAACCCTGAACCCTAAACCCTTTCATTACCAAGCACCCGAAGCCATACGGGTAGTTCCCAAGATTAAGGTGCCATTTTGGTATCCCTGAACATTATATGTTGTGATATAACCTATAGCCAAAAGGGACCCATAATTTTGAGAAACCTTAAGCCCTATATTCCCCTGTATAGCCCCCAAATAACCTTTATTCAAGGGGCCCATACTTTTGAGAAACCCCGAGCCCCATATTACCCTATATATCCAAAAGAGGCCCATAATTTTGGGAGCAACCCATGTCCCTATACTCTAAACCCTTAATAGTCGTTTCCATTGTGTTTTCCATTCTCCCTGTAGAACCCCTATAGAATCCCTATATAGCTCCTATAATCCCTATAGTTTCCATTTTCTTTTCCACTATCCCGATTGTTCCTGGAGGGTTTGAGAATAACCCATGGCCTAAACCCCAAACCCCAAAACCCTAAACTCCAAATCCTACGCTTTAAATCCTAAATCCCTCAGACCTGGGGGTTGAGAACAACCCATGGCCTAAACCCTTAACCCCAAACCCTAAACCCCAAAACCCTAAACCCCAAACCCTAAGCTCTAAATCCCTAAATCCCCCAAACCTGGGGGAGGAGTACAACCCATGGCCTATTGGATGGTAGAGCCAAGGCCGTCTGGAGCGAAAGCTGGAAGGGATCCAGGCCTGCTTGCTTTTGGATTTGGGATTTGGGGGGTTGAGGGTTTGGGGGTTGAGGGTTTGGGGGGTTGAGGGTTTGGGGGTTTAGGATTTGGGGGTTGAGGGTTTGGGGGTTGAGGGTTTGGGGGTTGAGGGTTTGGGGGTTGAGGGTTTGGGGGTTGAGGGTTTGGGGGTTTAGGGTTTAAGGTAGAGCATTTAAATAAAGCGAGGCTTTGATGAATCAATCCAGGCCCCTGATACGATATGTATTCTTTCAGGGCCCAGTGTCTGCATTACATGATGTCAGCTCTCACTGAGTGAGCTGAGTTAACCCCAACGCGTGTACTCCAAAATACTGCACCAACCAACAGGCCCAAGGCCCTAATTTCACTCTAATTCCCAGGACTTAGGGGAATTAGAGTGATGGAAGATTTCTTCCATCAACGTTATAAGCATCATTGTTAAAAAAGCAAGCCCCAAAACGGGGCTCATCATGCAAGAAGACCGTGAATCAGCCGATGTTGCAAAGTTACCAGTGATGCAGATTGCAGGTTGTATTGCGGACGGCCGACAGCATGCCGGGCAATGCCCCGCGGGAGACGCGGATCATTGTTCCTGAAGTGCCTGCCTAAGCTGGTCCCTTACCTTTGATGCTCACAGCCTCCAAGGAAGTCTATGTGATATACCAGAGCCCCAAAATTACCTAAACCCTGAACCCTAAATCCTAAACCCTAAACCCTAAACCCTAATAAGAGCCAGCTCTGGTCTAAAGTATGTCAATAACAGGTACTTGGAGCCAATGGGGTCATGAATATCCCAATTCTATGCAATGGCAAGATAGGGTTTAGGGTTTAGGGTATAGTGGCAGTCATCATCAGTTTCATTAGCTGGAGCCCATGGTTATCATTGAAGAGGCATTGATGTCCTGCTGTCAGAAGGGGGATGTTATAACCTCCAATATACAGAAGCTAATACGAGCTGACCCTGCTGGTTGTAGCGGCGTATAAGAAGAACATGCGCTGTAGTCTAAACTCCCTAAAGTGGCTTATGTATGGGATTATATCTGGGACTACTACACAGGGCTTATTAAGGGGGATACTAGGAGCTTAGATTTCGGCTCACCTCAGGTCCTGGCAGTACCTCCTGTCATGGAGCAGGCTGGGCCTGGCGGCCGCGTTACCTGGGTTTAGGTTTTAGGGTTTAAGGATTTCGTAGCTACTTCTAGCTGGGGTTATAACCCTACCTATACTGGGGGTAACCTCTACAAGGCTTTTTTGGGGGAGTATAAGTAGGGTTAGAAGCCCAGCTATTAGTGGTTACTAAGCCCTCCAAGTAGGGACCCGTAAGGTGATTGAGGGATGTCGCCATTAGGCAGAGGTACTGTAATTCCTTTTTATGGGTACGCGGGCATATTTTAAAAGATACAGTATTTTCGTTCTTTTGCAGTGGAGAGGTGGCATCAGCGTACACCAGCTGCGTGGTTGAGAGGGAGCCAGGCCCTGCATGCGACGTGACCGACTCAGCTTTTGGAATGGGGTTTTGGGTTTAGGGATTCAAAACCCTAAACCCTAAACCCTAAGTATACATGCAACATTTAGGGGATTCTAGGGATAACTAGGGGCTCAAGGGATCCCTACCCTTATTACAGTATCATGAAAGGTCTTGCTATGATCATTTTCTGTTACAAGTCTTGAGACCTACCCTATCAATCCAGGGGGTATAGGCATATGTTGCCCAAATGGAGAAGCAAATGAAAAGAACATGGAAAGGGCATGGAAGCTGGGGTTATATAGGACATTGTCGAGATAATTAAGGACTTGAGATCCAAGTGCACAAATAATACCTACATTGAGCCTGAACATCTGCAAATATTACCCACATTGGGCTATTTGGATCTTTAGGGTTATAGGAGTATCACAGGAATTCTCGGGGTAGGGGAGGATGTAGATGCCTGAAGGCTAAGCAAAGTGGTGCTTAAGGGGAGTAGCAGAGGGTGATCCCTACGATAACCTTATCTCTGTATGGGTAGTTCCCAAAATAGGGGGTTGTACAGAGGCTATTTGAGCAAAAGTCTAAACTCCTTACAGGGGGATATATAGAGGGTTCTATACGGGGCCATTATAGGGGTTATTCAGGAAAAAACTCGGAGTTTAGATAATGGCACTACTATTTAGGGCTAAGGTTTCTCAAAGTTAGGGGTACCTTGTTGGGGGTCCTATGATAAGGTCTATAGTATTTGGG